TGTTGACGAGGCGCCAATGCGAGAGGATGTGAAGGAGGTCGAGTGGTATTGTTAGTGAGTATGTTAGGTAGGTGATGACGAGTAGCCAGAAGGTGACGAAGTGGTTGATTACTGAGAGGAGAACTAGTTACATGATGGATGGTAGTAGTGTTGTGAGTAGGTGATATCATGTGTTTATGTGTAGTTGGTGAGTAGTACTAGTGGTGTAAGCACGGCAGTGCGTAGATGTGACCGTAGATGTAGAACGTCGAGTGGTATTGTTAGTGAGTATGTTAGGTAGATGATGGCGAGTAGCCAGAAGGTAAGGAGGTATAGGAAGAAGGGTTTGCGGATGTGGTAGAGGAATTTGTTGATTGCTGAGAGGAGTTGTTTGAATGGATCGCCGTTGATGACTTTGTCGAGTTGCTGGGAGAATTGGGAGCAGGTGCGTTTGTAGGAGGGGTTGGATTTACCATTTAATCCACTGGCGCTTGTATATGTGAATCCAAACTTATAAAGGACGCCTAGTACGCCGGCGCATTGGACAACGTTATCACATTGGCAGTTATTGTTGGAGTGGCAATTGCCCGCGGTGCCGTTACAGTGGGTGCAGCCTTCACAAGTAATCTTTTTGAAGTCTTCTAGTAACTTTTCAAGACCTTCTTTGAGAACATCCGTGAGGTACACAATACGTGATAGATAGGACTTAGCGAAAGTTGTAGAAATATTGCGATAGATACTATAGGAGAGCGATTGGAGGTACTTGCCACAGGTGTAGCCATTGTTTTTCTTGTCACATTTGCTGTTGTAGAGGGTGTAGAGGTCGGGCTCGGAGTTGTGAGACTTCTCGGTATGTTTTTCGCCAACTAGGGCTTTAACAGCGTCAGTGATGGAGCTGGAACCTTTATAATTCCATGGTATATTCGCGGATTCATTTTGAATGGCATCAGCGACACTAGGGGAACTACCACCATTATTCATTTTCTCACCAAGATACAAGAAAAACCCAAAGAGATCACCGACTGTACGGGGGGTACGTAACCCGGTGCATATTAGACATCTTATTGTGTTGTATAAACTGACGGAGTTAATGTCGTGTCTGGTGAAGTAATCTAGTATCTCCTTGATATAGTGACCCGTGCGTTCGGTCTGTGTGAACATTTCGGGCTGGAATCCCATTGGTACTGGGCACCATGTGTAGATAGTGGAGGTGTGATTAGAGTGGTCGGTGTACGGTGGATAAGTGTATTTAGTATCTTCTATCTTGATTGCCGGACATTTAAAAGGTATTAGGAGATCGCATAGGAAAGCTTGGAGGGGGGAGGAGAGGTTGGATTGGCCGCAATTTGTTGCGTGTGGATTGAAGGCGTAGTTGATGACATTGTGGAGTGAGTAGGTGAGGTGTCGAATAGAGTGAGTATTAGATTACGGTTTGAAGTACAATGTAGTAGGTGCGGGTAGATTGTGGGCGAGTAGATGCAGTGGTAGTAGGTGGTGAGTGTATGCGAGGCGCCAATGCGAGGGGATGTGAAGGAGGTCCAGGGGGCCGAGTGGGGCGTAGAGGCGGTAGATGATGGCGAGTAGCCAGAATGTTAGGAGGTAGTAGAGGAAGGGTTGATGGTTGAGAGTAGGTTGTAGTTGTATGATGGATGGTAGTAGTGGAGTGAGTATGTGATGTCATGTGGTTGTGTGTAGTTGGTAAGTAGATGCAGTGGTGTGAGCACGGCAGTGCGTAGGTGTGACCGTAGGTGTAGAACGTCGAGTGGTATTGTGAGAGAGTATGTTGGGTAGATGATGGCGATGGGCCAGAAGGTGAGGAGGTAGTAGTGGGTAGTGGAGTGAGTAGGTGAGGTGTCGAATAGAGTGAGTATTAGATTACGGTTTGAAGTATGTGATGTCATGTGGTTGTGTGTAGTTGGTGAGTAGTATTGACTGAGAGGAGGTTGTCTGTGGTTGATGGATGGTAGTAGTGGAGTGAGTAGGTGAGTAGTGGAATTGAGTGAGTAGTAGATTACGGTTTGAAGTATGTGATGTCATGTGGTTGTGTGTAGTTGGTGAGTAGTACCAGTGGTGATAGCACGGCAGTACATAGGTGTGACCGTAGGTGTAGAACGTCGAGTGGTATTGTTAGTGAGTATGTTAGGTAAATGATGGCGAGTATCCAGAAGGTGAGTAGGTAGAAAAGGAAGGGATTGCGGATGTGGTAGAGGAAGTTGTTGATGACTGAGAGGAGGTTGTAGTTATATGATGGATGGTAGTAGTGGAGTGAGTAGTAGATTACTGTTGGAAGTATGTGATGTCATGTGGTTGTGTGTAGTTGGTGAGTAGTACAAGTGGTGATAGCACGGCAGTGCGTAGGTGTAGAACGTCGAGTGGTATTGTGAGTGAGTATGTTAGGTAGGTGATGACGAGTAACCAGAAGGTGAGGAGGTACAGGAGGAAGGGGGAGCGGATGCAGTAGAGAAATTTGTTGATGGTAGAGAGGAGGTTATCTGTGGTTGATGGATGGTAGTAGTGGAGTGAGTAGGTGAGTAGTGGAATAGAGTGAGTATTAGATTACGCTACGAAGTACAATGTAGTAGGTGCGGGTAGATTGTCGGCGAGTAGATGCAGTGGTAGTGGGTGATGAGTGTAGGCGAGACGCCAATGCGAGAGGATGTGGAGGAGGTACAGGGGGAAGAGTAGTGCGTAGAGGAGGTAAGTGATGACGAGTAGCCAGAAGGTGAAGAGGTAGTAGAGGAAGGGTTTGCGGATGGAAAGGAGGAAGAGGTTGATGGTACAGAGGAGGTTGTCTGTTGTTGATGAATGG